CCCCCTCCCCCTCCACTGCCAGTCTCACCACCGCCAAGCACCCCCCAACCCCCTTCGTCGCTACCAGGATCACCTCCACCACAATCCCCACCGCCCCCAAGTTGCCCTGGATACTGGTAGGGCGATGGTCCTGAGTGCTGGTCACAGTGAGGTAGGATAGCAGTGACAGGGGGTGCGCTGACAGTATTAACGTTGGGATGGGTAGGGTAGGTGGCCTATCCTGTCTGGACATCCATTGACTGCCGCTACCAGGAATTACCGCGGGTCTGGTCCTTGGCCTCTAAAACACCCTAAGAAAAATTAAAAAATAACAAAAAAGAAAGAAAAATAAAAAAAGGAAAGAAAAAAAAAAGAAAAAGTTCAAAAATGAATAGCAAGCTACTGAGGCCTTGTCGTACCACCTCATGCCTGGCCAGAGGTACAGTCAGATGCATTGTGGACAGGGCTTCCTGGGAATGCCTTGAAAAGAAGGGGATTGTGGACAGGGCTGCGTGAGAATGCCTTGAAAAGAAGGGGGTTGACAAAGCAATAGGGCGTCCTCCCACTACTCTCGAGATGCTCAAATGACAAAAATCATGGCCGTGCATCTTTCCATGTTCTAGAGGCCCATAAATTTCTTCCCCCGGTTCTCACGCGGAGTCACGTGAGAAACAGAAGACATTCTTCTTCCGAAAAAAAAAACAAAAAAAAACAAAGGCAAAATGTCATTTCAACCTTTGAACTACTTGACGTGTATCTACCCATGTTCTACAGGACTATTCATTCTCATTTTGCACATTCAGTGAGTCGTGGAGCGAGGCCCTAGATCTCGATAGCTCTTTTTTTGCCTTTTTTTTTAGTAAGCCCTGCCAAGAAGGTAGGGCACTCCCTTCTCGTTTTTCAATACTTCATAGCAGTAAACAGATGAATGCTTCCCATATTTCTGGGGAGATGCAGTTCAAACTGGAAAAAAAAACAAAAGCAGAAACGCCCCAGGCTAAGGACACGAACTGGAAAAGAGTTGAGTCGTCACTTCCCACTACAACATGGTCAGATACACCTTCATTTGAAAGAAAATTTCCCTAATTTTTTCGGTTTTTTTTTTTTCCGGCCGAATGGCGAAGAATTCGTGTTGTGAAGTTCGTGAAGTGTCTTGTCGTTTTCCATTCCGCCGATTCGATTCGTTCGAATGAAAAAGAACGCGGACCCATCACCACCTACCCGCCATTCACCACCTATGCATTTTGCAAGGGAGTCGTCGCAAGTTTTCTTGAACACTTTGTAACCCCTCACTATCCATTTTACACCCATTCGCATACAATCATTTCATCCCCGAAAAGGAAAACGACCATAACAAACCACAACGACCTAAACAAACGACCACTAGACCTAGAATGCCTAAAGACTACAACGACCACTCGTAACTACCGGTCCGTCTCCTAGCCGCGACCGCACCCTTCAAACTTTTCCCTAAACCCCGAAAAGACCCCGTCCAAGACCATTCAACACGCACGACATTTCCCAAAAAAGAAACTCCACAAAACGACAAAATTACAGTCGTAGTAAGCGCAGCCTCTGGCTGCGAAATGAATAATCCAGTGTAGTGGGATCTGACCCTTATCCAGGAGCTGCTATTTTTCACACAGCCAGTGAAGAGGTTCGGGGCCTACAAAAAGCTACAAGGCCCGGGACTAAGTGGGTCAGGGCCCACAAGGCCCCCTGACAGGACAAAAGTGGGTTAGGGCCTATGACTAAATGGCCTCTCACACGACGATACACTTGATCTTAGCCGAAAAACCGCGATTTCGTCAAAACGTACATTTTTTATTTTTTGCGCGAAATTGAAAGTCCTTTTTTGAAGCGATTTTTCGTGTTTTTCATATATAAAAACAATCAAATTCAGAGGATACCATGAAATTTTCCGGTCAATAAGCCACTAGTTTTCTCTTGATTATTCGAAGGAATCACCTGTTATCAGCGACTATTGTTATATTTCATTGCAAACTTTGTGATTTTGGAACAATTTTTTATAGTTTATGTAGGATTTGTCAAAGTTCCACACAACTTTATTCCTTATTTCTGTATATTTTATTTGTCAAATTTCCACATAAATTTATTCCTAATTTCATTAGTTAAAATTTTAACTATTTTTGAGGTTTTTTCATCATTTTATCGACTTTTACTGAATATTTTATTAACATTTTCAATATTTTTTAGCTAAATCGATCGGAAAAGGCATCAAATAAACATTTTTTTTTTGGTTTGCTATGGATTCATCAGCAATGTTGTGTTTTTTTTTTCTTCTGAAATCTGCATCGTTATGGTAATATAATAAGATTGTCAATGAGTTTTTCATCTGCAAGTCCTGTTTTTTTTTGCCACACATGGGAACAAAACGCCCGCACCACACATTATAACATCCAACGCACGTTGCAAATGGAACAATTAACTTAAAAATTGATACAAAGATGTGATCCGCTAGACAATTTTAGTCAGAAAATTGATAATCATATCATATTTTTTTGACTTCGTCACAATTATTACATTGCTATTGCAACAAACAACTCAAAATTTCTCTTGCGGTCCGAGTGATGTCTGTTGCTGTCGCTCCATGTCTATTACTTAGTCACTTATCATCTTTTAATAATTATCCTCGCTCATACTCTTACATTTTCCTATTATCATATTACTGACGGTTCCTATTTGTTGCATTCATTATGAGAATCCACATCGTCGCATCGTTCGAGTCGTCGAGCGTGCACGCCGGGATAGGTGGAATAGGCATGCTTTCAAAGTTGGTTACGAAAGCAGACCATCCTTCAAGTCTTCGACCCTCACGCATCAATGTACTTTTGTTTTCCTCGTGGACTTGGAAAGCTGCTTCGTAACATTCCACATACTCTTCCACTGTCCCTGCTTGTCCTTGTCTTTCGTAAATTCGCACGTCATAGACGTCGATTTCCGTGAACCTCACAGCAACTACAAATAATTTACATCCACCAACTTCGCATCTTACTATTGACTCATATTCGTATGGAAACGGACCGTTTGCTGTTGTGAGAGATGCCCCTGCAGGCACTGCGATGGGAGTGATGCGCGCCATTGTTGTATAAGGTTTGCGTATTATTGTCTCCTGTTGTAATGTCGAGCACTACAACCCTGCAAGATCGATTAGATAATATTGTTCAAAATTAGTCATACGACAAATATCGACATTATTCGAACGAATAAA